ACCAGTCTTATTGTACTCAACTGCCTTGAGTTATTCCTATCAAGTCTCAAGTCAAGACTTCAGTGAGGCAGAGGAAGAGGAAACCTGAAAATTGGCATTCTTCTTGGAACACGAGTTAATTTTTAACTGATGAAAAATAAGACTGTTTCTACAGCAAGAACGCATTAGATCCTGCCTTTCAGTGGTAAAACAGAGCTTCCAAGCCCTTAGGCACATTATTCTCTTTTAATTGTTCATTTCCTCTCTACTGTTCTGTGTGCAAGAAGTGAACAGATTATCACTCTAAATAAAATACTATAGTGTGCTTTCTATAGGAGTTCCTCAAGAATTTGTGAGGCACAGATGCATTTGCCTATAACAGACATAAAAATGTTTAGAAAACAAGCTATATGAATAACAAAGCAAATACTTGTAAAGAGTTCCATGGCATCACTTTAAAGTAGTTACTTTTATAGTAACTTGACATTTTAAAATCATTATTAAACAAGTTGCATTTTTATTCTTTCACTGTTCTGTAAAGATGTTGCTCCAACAGCGGCTGCTGTGATCCTGTCATCCCTCATCCTCATCCTTCATCTGCTCCTCTATCATCTCAACGTGTCAAAAAAAATTCATGTAATAGTGGATGAAACGTGTCAAAATGATAGTCCTTTCCATGCTTACTTATATTTCCTACATAGCTTCCTAACAAATGAGCAAACACTTGATTCTTAGTGCAAAAGCTGAGATTAGTTTTCCACTTCTTAAGAGGCTCCTAAAATTAAGAGATCAAATTTACAGTTACAAGTGAGCATCAGTGCCCTGGAGAGATTTTCCAAGAGGTTGGGCAGATCCAGCCTTTTCCACATTTTGAAGGACATGACCTATGGACTGAAGCCTTCCTTCAGTTAAGCTGGCTGTGTAACAACACAGCCTTTACAACTTGCAAGAAGTTTTATAACACAGCATGAAGTCTTGCTGCAGAAAGTTATGTTGTGATTCATTGACCAATATAAATACCATGCGATTGGAATGAGACATTAATAAAAAAGAATCCCTCAATATTTCTCGAAAACAGAACACCTGATATCTGCTGATTAGGCACTTGCAGTAGTTGTGATTACACTTTTGATTCCTTCAGAGCTTACATATATCCAGATCTAACAATCCAGCTAAAAGGACAACTCATAGCTCTAAGAAGTAATGGACTCAAAGTCACACAAGTAGGAGACAATAATTTTCTCACTCTACAAAAATATATTAAATACCTTGTGGAAAATAGCTCTTTACCATCCAGTTTCTCTGTGTGTCGTGCCACATTCCATTCTCACATACATTTTATTTTATTACCTAGCTCTTCGGTATCACCGCAAAGCTTAAACTCCCATATTGCATATAACAGAACCAGCACCAGTAAAAGCCACCAGGTCCTACTCTTCCTTATGTTTCTTATGTACTGCCAAGTCTGAAGTCACTGCATCTCTTCTGAATGACATGTGAAGTAGATCATGAGTGGCATCCCTGGGTGCTTTGGTAAAAGTAATTGCAGTGCTCTGCCTAAATTCATCTGGATAATTACATGGTGCTCATTTGATTTTAGCCTGTTAGTTTTTGCTAGAAGAGTTCTTGTTCACTTCATCCCACCAGCCTTTTTGTTTTTTTCCCCTTTCAGCGGTTATTGAATTTCAATGGTAGTTGAAATACATACTTCTCTTCGGGAAATGAAGCATGCAGAGAATTGCGACAAGGCAATCTATTATTTGAAAGTTGTGTCAAGCACGATGCATGCGTATTTCTTTAAGATATGCATCAAAAATGTGTTATTCTCATGAGTTTGTGCACCTCACATTTTTGCAATTTACAATACAGTTTTACCAGGATGCCTGCTTTCTATATTTTCCATGAGTTCAACATGAATCAAATATTTATCCCCCCCGCCCCCCCACAAGAACCCCCCCCCCAAGTAGTAAGAAAGAAGTTTATATTAGCTTGAAAATAGCGTGTTGTAAGTTAAACTCTTGCCGTTTCCTTCCTTTGATTTCTCTTTCCACAGAAGTATTTCACAGACTGGTAATGATACCTGTTCGTAGCATGCAGCAGGCAGCTCGAGATTCTCTTTTCGCAGCTATTTTCTCGTCTCACCACAAGATGTCGGTGTGACCCATTTATACTGGCACCGTGTTTCTCCCAGCCAGCTGTTGCAAATTGCCAACGGATCCTATTCCTCTCCTTTAAAAATCCCCAAAAGATACTGAGACCATAAATACATGTCATCAGCGAAAGAGAGCAAGGACTGAGAAGTGCAAGGCTACGATAACTAATTGCCTCACTTCAGTTTTGGAAAGAACAGCTCTGCGATACTTCCCACGCCAGCCGGTGGTTTTCCACCCGCTGTGCAGCACGGGGCAAGGCCTTCCCGTGCACAGAAAAACAGGGAAAGAAAATCCGAGGCACCAAGCTGGCAATGAAGGACATCGATCCTGCTCCTGCCAGATCTGCTCTGAAGGTTTAAAATGGCCTCGGTAATCAATTGTTTTTAAAATGCATTGCTCTACTGAAGTGTGCTATAGGTATTTAAAGAGTATTAGCAGCATAAGCATCGAAAGTTCCTCAGTATTCCAGCACCACATCCATATTTAAGTTTGAAAGCCGGAAAATATATTCTAAATTGCTGGGATGTTTGCACTTCAAGGGTGTTCTCTTTTTCCAGTTGACATACTCCCCGTGTTAGCAACAAAGAGATAAGAAACACGGTGCTAATTCCTGAGCCCTTAGGTTGCAAACAGAGAGAAGAGGGGGCTGGGACCAAGGAGAGAGCAGGATGGGAGAGCAGAAAGAGGCTACATGCTTCATTAACAAAATCGTTCCAATTCCTTGTCCTACAGGGCAGAAAGGGATCCTATAAACTTCTGTAGAGCTTTGCGCATGACATGAATTTAAAGGGTATTCAAAGCATCTTTCGTGCTAATTAGACCAGACAGACGGTTCCAAGTATGATTAACATAGACATTTGAAAGACTAACGCAACTGTTTCTGGGAATAGATATAGCTGTCCCACAGAGAGCTGCACTGAGGTGGTGGTTTCTGTTTTCATTTAAAGTGTAAGTACAGGCAAGTTTACCTTTTTCCAGAGAAGATGGGAATAATTAAAATAAAATAAAAAAATAAAATCAATTATTAATTCAATAAACAGATGAAAACAAAATTCCTGGTTTCTTCTCAATAAGTACAAAGGCACAATACATTTATTAATGAAGTGAAAAACTGAAGTAAAATAAGTCAGGCTATCATCACAGAATTCAGCAGGGACAGCAATAACTTTCAGCAATCTCTAAAAGCATAATATCACAACCATACTGCTTCACTTCAGGGTTAAAGTTTCCTCATCAAGTGAATCATTGGCTAGCAAAACAGAAAACAGCTGTTGAACAGATAACGGGCAACGCTCCAGGTTATTTTTATCACTGTTTTAGCAAGCCATACATTCGGAATTGCATTTTTAAATGATTTCTGGAGGACAGTTTGACAGGAGAAGAGCCAATAGTTAAATAAAGTAGCATAACTCTCCTTTCCCACAATACTCAATGAGATGGTTGGCCATTAATGTGGGTTATCCTGAACTTTTGATCTACCTTTGAAAATTTCCTTACCTTGCGATGCAGCCTTCATGAGTCTAAAATAAAATAGCAACCTTACAACTTTAGTTATAGATATGTCTGGTAATCCTGCTCTGCCATTGACTCAATACAGAAGTTCATTTCTGATAGCTACCAAAATTCAAATGCCTCTTTCTTCGTGAGTCCATTAGCAACCAAAGACCCCACAGAAACTGACTTGCCATTTTCATGGTAATGGAAGATGTAAGGACAAGAGAGGGATAGAGCTCTGAACAACAATAACCAAACAAGAAGGAATAGAAGTATCTCGTCTGATTAGTTCTAGCATTAGTGCAACTGAGGGAAATAAACAGTTTTCACCATCAGCTGCCATAGTGCATTCTGCTTTACATTACCACGCCCAGCTAGAGGGATCTTCTAGCAAACATACTAAATTTTGGAAACGCTTTGCCCTTTTCAGTGCACTTTCCTCTTAGGTCTCATTAACCAAACTATTAACACTTGTAGGCATTATTTGCCCTGAGATCACAGAGTAGCAAGATTACACCACAGAAAGCCTTTGAGGTCACCAGTCCCGCTCCTCAGATACATGCAGTAGATGGGATCATAGATTCAAGCTGTTAAGCCGCATAAGATGAAGGTTACTGGTACAATGGGATAGCATTAAGGATTTGGAGTTGTCTTTACTACTCTACTGGAGGAAAATAACTCTGCCTTCTCCTGGAAGCTGTGAAACATGAGCTTTCACTGTAATTCTCCCTGCACTCTCGAGTCTGATTCCCTGACTCGCTGGAGAAGGCTCTGCTGTGTTTGTAGGTCACTAAGATTGCAGACTCAGCCCTTCAGGCACCCTTTCTTTGGGCAGGGATGATTGCGGTTCCCTCCTCCTGCCAATAACATGGTTAACCATGCCTGTATTTCACCTATGCACAACTTCTGCAACAACGTCCAATGCACTTGGTAATTTTTGTAGTTTACCTAACCTGAAATCTGCTCCATTCCTACTGTCAAGCTAATTAAATCCCTTCCCTCAGTAACTTTGTATTTCAGTTAGAAGAAATACAGAGTTTGTATCTATTGCCATGTATTCCCTGGAAAAAAGGAATCATTAAACTTCCATTTAAATCAAAGAATCTTTCACATTATTTGTCTGCTAATTATTCATAAGGACAAAGAGCACAACATTGCAATAATTGGAGGTGCATTAAAATTTTGCTGTTACTACTTGTGCATGAAAGCTGTGCACGCGTTGAAGCCGCTCAATACCCCAGCACTATAAATAGTGCTCTATTGTTAGTGGATAAAAGATGAAACAAGTCTCCTGGCACTGGAGCGCAGCACGCCCTATTAAATGTTACGCTCTGCCTGTGCTAAAAGTGAAAGGCGACGTCAACTGATAAACTAGTCTGCGGGTAAGGCATACGACTGGGAAGAGTTTGCTCTGGCTCTGGAGCTTCCCCAAAGCAACACAGAAGCAGCAACTTACCTTTCTGCTTCAGCAATGGCAGAAGCTGTTACAAGGCACTGGGTGGAAACTCCCGTACGCTATGAAGAGTGGTTTGCTGTCCAAGAGCTGGAAGCACACAAACTGGACCACTCTTTATATGCTTTGCCAGGGCCTTCTACAGCTGCACTGAGCAACAGAAGGTGTATCGCGGAAAGTACAGCTGGGGCCGAGCGGCCAGGAGGAGGAAAACACACGCTTTCGGGTCTTGCTGGACGTTGTGCAGTTCCGCCCAGAAGACATCATTATTCAGACTTTCGAAGGCTGGCTCCTGATCAAAGCTCAGCACGGGCCTAGGATGGACGAACACGGTTTCGTATCCAGAAGCTTTACCAGACAGTACAAATTACCTAATGGAGTGGAGAACAAAGACCTGTCTGCGCTTTTCTGCCATGATGGCATTTTGGTTGTTGAAATGAAGAACCCGGTGGGAACGAATTAGAGTTTTGTCCATAGTTTATTGGTGAGATAAAATCATTCTTAACCTAACAAAACAATATCATTCAAGCAATGCTGTAGAGTGTACTAAGGGTGTGGCTGTATTTACATTACAGTAAAGGAAAATCTTTGTATATATTTTTCAGTATGGTGAGTTTATTGTTTGATGTGAAATGTTAGACTGCTTGCCTCCAGCTACATATGTGTTGGAAAGCCAGGCTTTTTGAACAGTAGAGAATTTAGGCTAGTCACAGCAAGAGAAAAAAAAAAATCTATTTGATATATTGACAATAAAGCACATTTATGAGTTCAGTTGGAGGAGTTGTATTTCTAAGGAACAAACATTTGTCATACATAGTCATGACCATTTAAGAAGCAATAGACAGGTTGTGAGTCTTACGGAAATTTAATTTATGTACTAAAAATTCTGTTTTCTAATTTTTGAGATTAAATTCTTCTTCCTTAGGCTCTGGGAAAGCACACAAATTGAAGGATACTATCAAGAAAAAAAACCAACTATTTCCACAGTTCAAGCTTGTATACAAAAGAACCCTTGAGAGATTACTTTTTACAAGTGTGTTGAGTGTTTGAAATGATAAGAAAAAAAGAATAATCACTGACTATATTTGCTTGAAAACACAGTAAGTAGAAATGATACTTTCTGTCAAGGACAAATTAATCTGAAAGAAAACAAAGACATTTAGAAAATTGGGTTTATTTAACATATTCTGCTATTAGCAACCAAAGAAAAAATATATTGCTTACAAATACTCAAAAGGATCAAATTCTTCCTTGTGAAGCCCCAGCAATAAAAAGGCATTACTCTAGCACAGATGCCTTTATTCTTATGCATTTTAGGTAGTCTTTTTTTTCAATCAGATGAATATTTTATTCTTCATGTGGCTTGACAGTTTGTGTCTTCAAGAGCAAATTTTTCTGCCTATGCAGAGTCCCACTCTCCCTGTACCAACATGGGCTCGACATGAATCTAATTTTAAGTGCGGGGGTTCCTTACTACAGACACAGGTTTAATTTCTGTCCCAGTTTCTCTCATTTCATGAGAGTGGTAGAGATGGAAAAAAAGATCCACCCACTACATCTAGTATCTGGTCTTCTCAACATTAAAAAAAATTAATGCTGTAAGTGAGTTTGTAAATACTCAAGCATTTGAGGAGATCTGCAGTTGCAAGTCGAACTGCCTCTTTTTATGTGTGCAGGAGACGAGTACGACTGCTGTGCTATGAATAGTAAAGCAATGTGGAATGGAAAGTGCCAAGTTAAATACATACTCTTTATGATAGCCATCTGCTGTTTGGAAAAATCAAAAACATATTCAAATGAAACTGAATACAAATACAATTTTAAGAATATGAGAAAAATCCGATGAACAAAACCCAGGCTGTCACTAGCTGAAGGCAGAGAGTTCCTTTAGTTTAAAATGAAAGCCCTAACCTTGTACTTCTGCACATGTCCCTTCATTAGAAAGACTTACGTCATGGTTGTTTAGACTTGAAAACATTTGAAGCAATTGACTTTAGAAAAGCGGGTAGTCCAATTCTTGCATTTTATTTATTATTTGTGCTAAAACTCACAAGGAATTTGTACAAGAAATGCAGAATAAGGTCTGGATTCTAAATTTCCATCATGTGCAATTATTTTATTTTTTTAATAGAGCAGAAGTCAAGAACCTAATGTTTTCTAACAAACCAAACCAAATATAAAACATATGTCCCTACATTTCCACTCAACCCACACTTTTCCCTCATATTGTCTGTGTTTACTTTGTGTATTGGCTTAAGATAATAAACGATCATGCTAGAAAATCAGATCTAGATTTTCAACAATTTTAGGTCAAGAAGCTTCCTCAGCCAGGAATCTGATGGAAGATGTAACATGGATTTAAAAAAATGAACTCTAGATACAGGTCTGGATTTAAACTTTACATGCCAACTTTATAAAAGCTCACAAGTTTAGACCCATGGTTACACATCACCTTACGGCACAACTGTTGGGATAGAGTTCAGGATCACCAATTAGTAACCTGCTTTGGTGATTTTTGTTTACAGAGGATTTTGTAAATTTGATCACTTAAAATTATAGGCTATTATAAAAATTATTCTAGCTATGATTGCAGTGATAGTATTCATAGCCCTAGAGATGAAAAAGCAGTTCTAAAAAAACATAACTGATTTAATTATTTCAAAATAGATCATGATTAAACTACCGGAAACTTGGTAGTTTAGACCAGACAGCCGAAATCATATTGTCTGTTCTATATATGTTAATACCATGGTTACACACAGCCCTGCTTATGTACACAGGCCTGCCTCACAAAACTGGATGGAGAATCTGGCATTTGGTTGTTGTATATCGTAGGTCTCTTCTCATCACTCCATGGCCAGGTCTGTACTTGCTGATGACATCGTCAGTTAGAAACCACTGGAACGTACTGACCTAAACATGGCAAGGATGTACCCAGGAGGATATTACCTTCTGTAGTACCCAGAACTTTACAAAAGCCTAATGCATGCCCCTTGGTGAATGGGAGCTTGCCCTGGCCCAGCACCCGAGTGCTCGTGTAACGGGGACCACGCTGGAGTATGGACCTGCTGCTGGCTTCCTGTGTTTTAGCACCAAGAACAACGTAGAGGAAAGTGCTTCTCTCCTTTTTTTAGTGGCAGATTCTTGGATGAATTATTTTTATGTGTTTACTAGAACAGCCTCAAAGTACTTGGCACAGCATTTCCAAATTGTCTGGAAAGAGCTGTTTTGACGTATTATATGTGATGTTTTACTTCTATAATCTGATTAGAACTGAACGTGAATGTCATGGAGAAAGCTGCTAATATAGCTCATGGACAGTAGAATGAGACATTTATCAACAGCAAAGGATTTCAGAACAGCTACAGCTTAAGACAGGTTTCAGACATGCTGATGTGGTTAAATTAAGAACCCTGATACTGGCTGCCTACGAAACCCTGGCCCAGAATAAGCAATAAATGCTGCTGCAAGCCCTGCAGAGCAAGTGTTACGGAGCCTTCTTGGTTTCCATCACTGAAGGATTGTAATTGATCAGACTGCTCCTCCAAATGGATAAAGATGATTTCATGCATGAATCTAAGCACTGTGAAAAATGCTTTCATAGAAGAAAATGTCTCAATATCAGCACTAGTCTCCAAAAGCAAGGTCACAAATTTACATTTCCATGTGATCCCTGTGGGCAGAAAGCCCACAAATGCCTTGGACTTGTTGCCTTTTTATAGTTTCTGCTGCATCCAGGGCATTTGAGATCTCTCTACTCAATCTGATACCTGTGGTGCAGTGAACCGAGGCTGACACCCATCAGTCACTCAGTAACCGCTCAGCTACAGCCCTGGGCATTGGAAAAGAGGAAAGGAAATCCCTGGGATGCCATGGTAGTAACATTCCCTCTAAGAGAGGTAGGTCTTGTGTTCCTTACCTAGTTCATAGCCAGGAATCAAAATGTGCTTTTTCATCTGAGTACCGCTACAAGATTTGGCTTTTAATGGGAGTAGGAATATTTCTGAAAATTTTAGGTGCACCTTCTCTATATGAAAGAGATGCTGACTTCTGTCTTGCTGACTCCCAGAGGCTGGCCCCGGTCATCCAGAGGACAGCATCCCAGTGGCCCTACACTGTGAATGCAGGGGGTAAGTCCAAGGACTTAGACCTGTACATTACATCGGAGATACCTGAGCTGGCCCCACTCATGCCGACTCTGGAGCCAGAAGTACTGTCCCTGTGTGTCAACTCAGGTCCAGAAAGCCCAGAATGTCCATTGCTGTGCTCAGGCTGAAAAATCATCCCTTATTAAAAATACTTTCACAGACGGAGAGATGGGAGAAACATGGCACTACAGCTCAGGACTCCCCAGCCAGGTGAGTGCTAACGTGGAGGCCTCAGCTCTTCGTGCACAGTGGGCTGTAGTCCTACCACAAATTCCATCAATCTTAAAAAGACACAGTCTTTAGCCACATGGTAATACTGCTGATGCCAGCATTTTCACGGGGAAGTATGTCTACTAGCTGCTTGCACAAGCAGAACTGATGCAAGTAGAGAGTCATTTACAGGTCCTCTCATGCTCCTCAGTGTGTCTACTGTGCTTCAGGCTGGCCCCGACCCCATCGAGTATCACTCTTCCACTAACGAAGCATGCTGCTCCCGAGCCCTGCGAGCCAATACAGAAGCAGCAGTGAGCAGGTCTGTGCACGGAGAGGAGACAGAAAACTGTAGGACCAGGGTGGGGCTTGGCACATAGCCAGCAAGGAAGCCCACCAGAGGTGTCTCAGGCAAGGATGAGGAGCAGGAAAAGCATTCCAACTGGTTCAGAATATATATCTATCTATATATACACAAAAAAATAAAGATATTAAGGCATAATATTTAAACCGCCTATGAGAAGTATTTGACTTACTGATAAAATGAGCATTTTTAAGGGCTGAGAAAGACATTTCAAAATTACTTTAAAAAACTTAGGTTGTTAATAGAAAAGGAATACCATACATGGACTAAACCCTTGGTGTGCTAGGCTGAAAGAAATACTATCTTCAGCTCTACCCACTATACCTGCTGTCTTCAGGTACATTTCTTTCCAATTGCACATCCCTCCAATTTTCCTATCCATTAATTGCACGTTCCCATCATGTAAGCAGAGATACCATGGCAGAATCTCCAAAAGTTTCACTTGCTCTTAGCAGAGTTGGATGACATGGGGGTTAAAGTTTGAGTGCCCTATCTGAACTAGCCACCCCACAATTTCTACAGTCAAGTCCTCATCACCTCAAGCTGGTTTACTGATTCACTGTAAACTAGTCAACATGTGCAGTCATTCCTCTCGTTGGCTCTGCATGGAGTTGGTTGGATCCAGCAAGACTTCCTCACTCAGGTGCCACCATGCAGCCTCCAGGGCCAACCGACATCTTGCTCTCTCCCACCACAGTACCGACGCAGTGCAGAGCTCAGCTGGCTGCTCCTGCGGCTGATTCAGAAGTCCAAATGCAACAACGTGAGTGGTTCCCTGCGTGTGTGTGACTCCACACAAGAGGTAATATGGGATCAGAAGATGTTTTGAGTTCCAGTGGCAATAATTCCTTCATTATTAGTTCCACTCCTCATTTTCCAGGATATGCCACCCTCCTCTTAGCCTGGACACTGGAGTTTGCTGTTCCACAGATGCCATAGCAGTGCAGTGGTGTAGGCACTAAGAGCAGGCTGTGTAGTAGCTTTTGTCTGTGAATGAGCTGATTTTGAGTTTGGATATTGGCTTTAAATAAGTCCAAGTCTTAATTAAAAGTGATAGCATGACATCATAGCTATAATGAAAAACTAATGAAGAGAAATGATTTTCAGAGCGTGGTTTCACAAATAAAAACATAATTCTTGTACTTGGTCTTACAAGGCAGACAGAAACTCATGAGCTACCTGCAGTGGTGACAGCTGTATGCATTTTAATAGTATTTCAAGTTTATTTTTTGTAACTTTACCACAATTATCCAAGTCTTGGTGTCATGATCAGTATGTGCCGTACAAGATGCACCATAAATACAGTCTCTGCCTTCATGTATATATGAAGCCTTAGGGCTTGATCCTGGAATGAAGCTGATAGTGACTTCTCCTGGTTT